GGGGGCGCGAGGACGAGCTGGGGGCTCGGTGCGGGTCACAACCTCGGAGCAGAACCCGCCGCTAATTTATCCCAGAGCGAGGAGGCGTCCGGCCCGTCGCCCTAGTAATGCGTCCAGACAGGCTCCGTCCTGATTGGCTGCGGGCGTTGTGACACCGCGGCGTCCCCGGCTGCGTGGGAAGTCCGGGTCCCCGCGCCACGCCCCTGCTCCGCAGCCCGTGGGGACCCCGGGAGCCCGGCTTCCAGGGCTCCCTTAAAGGGGCCGCGCTTACTTTCTCGCCTGGCTTCCTGGGGAAGAAGGACCAGAGAGCCCGGAGCTCCGGGCTCTGTGAGGAGCTCCTCTCTTCCTCCTCTGTGAGGAATTCATTGACCTAGTCCTGCGTGCTCAGTGTGGACTTAGGAGATGTGGACACCCTTATTTGAATGAACTGCCCAATTTATCATCCCAGTTGGAATCAGGATGTTGCTTTGTCTGGAAAAACTGCAGGAAACGGGAATCAGAGGAGGGGTCGTTGTCCCAGCGACCCCTCCACCTCCCAGAGTGCAGTTAAAAATGAAACTCAACTCTTTATTTTCAAATGCCTTTTGGGGGCCAGCAGTTAGCGTAATAGCTATGTCGCTGGACTCCCACGTAGTCGACTGTGGTTCGAGTCCCGGACCCAGTGGCTTAAACTCACGCCGGGCGCGTGTGCGTGTGTGCCCAAGATCAGAGAGGAGAATGGAGGAGAAGGGATTGTGGTGTGGCCATCCCTTCTTGGGGGTGATTTCTCCCTTTCTATCTCTATGTCTTCTCTCTGTCTTTCTGGCAGGCGCAGGCGCCCTATAGTAATAAACCTCTCCAAAAAGAGAAAAAGAAATGCTTTTTTAAGTAATGGGCATCCAAAGTAGGACTATCCCACTTACCCGAAGTAACTGTAGTCATCAGCACACAAACCACTATTGGATGCAAATGCAATTAATCACGATTATTATTATACAAACAAAACTACTCCCTTGAATTTTTTTCTTTTTGTTATTAATAACAGAAAATACCTGAAACTAGGTGGTTTATACAAACATAGGATTATTCAGCTCACGAGGTTTGGCGGTCCAGGGCCACCTCTGGTGGGGGTCTTGCACTGTCTGGATGAGAAGGAAGAGAATGGAGCAGAGAGGCTGTGTCCATCGGTCCCTCTTCTGGGC